AAAAAAAAAAAAAAAAACTGGTCCTGAAGATAGCAATACAACCGGGAAACAATAAAGAAAATGGGACTACCAGATTTTTTAAGATATCTAAAAAAAGAAACTGAAGGACCCAATAGAAACCGAAAGAGACTGAAACGAACAGAACAAAATCAACCCAACGAATAAAATCCAAACTTTCTCAATAAAACCGGCATGGCCATAAAAAAGAGAAACACACATAATTGCAGCATCTTTTTTCCCAGATTCACAAGCCAGGCAGAGAGAAAATAAATGGCAAACAATTTGTCGGGGGAGACTTACAGCTGAAGGACGAAAATTAAAGCAGAGTTTTTGGCAGACAAAAACGACGCGGCAGCTCGAGCGATAAAAATGAACACCGAATTACAGTAGGGTTTTCGGAAGGGGTAACTGGGGCGGTGGAGCACAGGGCAAACGACGTCGTTGGGGGGGGAAATACGGTGTGTATGTAATGTAATACACAAAGCTCGAGCGGTTAAATGATTATTATAGTGAAGGAATTTGATTACAGCACTCATGGTTCTGACTTCTGACACAAAAACAGTACTCATTGCACTGTGTGTGAGAGGAAGTGTGTGTGAGGGACAGGTGAAACGACGTCGTTGCGCAGGTGTGTGTGATTAGATTAATCTTTTTGAGAAGGAACACAGAAGGGAATCTTCACTGTAGTATGGCTATGGGTATTGCTGCCAAGCACGGAAACAGAGAAAGAGGGAAAATAATATTTTCGAATTTCTTATAGTATTTTTTTTGTAGTTTTGTGGGAGAGGACAATAGCCAATAGCCAATAGGTTATATATTAATTATTGAATAAAATAATACTACACACTTTAGACCTTAATAACAAAATAATATTGAGATTTGTGTAATAGTGTTTTCAATATTTTTCCAATATTTTCAATGTTGGACTTAGAACTACAAAGATTATAATTGCATTAAAAACGGTCAGTTTCCAAAAGATAAATATGAAAAAGATTATATACACTCACCAAGCGTAGCTAGAAAAAATTTTAATTTTGTGGGCTATGTATTATTGTAGCTATTATTAAAATAAAGTAGCCATGATTATTGACCGACTTGGCTTGCCGATTCGGCTCGAACGGACACAACCGGCCTGTTGAACACGGGTCTTGAACCAACTTGTGGTTTTGACCAGTCCGGTTCATGTTTAATACTTTATAATTTATATATTTTGAACTGACAATTCCGAATCGAAATCGGAATGTTCGACCTTTTTTTTTTAAAAAAAATATTAGTTCTATTTTTCTATTTAATCGGATGGCCAGGAACTGACGGTTTAATGAACTGACCCGTGCATATGTTCGAGCCGATCTAGGGCCCTTCAACCCTCGGTCCACGATCAGCGATTTCGACCCGAAATCGATTTTGGCCATAACTAGAACAGAATTATTTGGTAACATATTTCGGTTCGACTTGTAAAACTCAATCTCGACTCGCTTATATATTTAATAAGTCAAACCAAAAAATAGTTAATCGAACTTGTCGATTAAACAAATAGTGTCGAACATGTTTGCAATCAGCTATGTAAGAGTTGTTTCTTTCTTTAGGAAACGAGGCCAAATTAACTATTGGAGTCAAAATCAACATAAAACAAATAAGAAACGGATAATGACTATGCAATGAGGCGAGTCCAATTAAATTGCCCGCATGAGAAAGTTTGAGTCAAACTTAATTATCCAGTTCATTTAATGTTTGTCATGCCAACCCATTAAAAATTTAAAATATACGAATGTGTTGGGCCACATTATATACCCAATTGATAAAAATCCAATAAAGGCACAATTGTCATTTGATAATAAATGATTATCTTCTTTTCTTTCACTGCGATCATCACTTTTCCACTATTGTTGTCAGATGAACAAATTTGACATAAATCTTGAGGTATAAATACCATGGAGCTATGTATAAAAAATTCTAAAAAATAAAATTAGTAATTTATTATTACTATTATTTTTAATTTTATTTTATAGTTTGAAAAATGCTCACTTGTATCAAGAGTCATAAGTTACTCAATATTATCTCTAACTTTAGTGTATTAGAAGATACTTTGTCTTATGATCTATAGGCTACATAAATTTTCAAATACTATCAGATCATATCAATCATTGTTGTTAGAAAAAAATGAGATGCATAATAGGTCAAATAAGCGTGAAATGAAATATATCTTTCTTAGTGACGTTAAGTTAGATAATAATTATAATTTTGTTTGGTAAAATGAAAAACACCGCGTCAAACAACTTGTAAATCATTTCACAATTCATGCTTTTAAGAAGAACAATATCAATTACAATTTTAACGAAGATGATGAGTCCATGCATTTGAATTTCAAATTTTCTATCATGATATATATATATATATATATATATATATATTTTTGGTACTGTTCTATCATGATATATATAAAGCATAAGAACTTTATAGACTACAATTTTGGAATACAAGAGGCAAAACAGTCAACCAATAAGGTTGACCCTTGCCCACAATGTGATCCTAATGTAGGGAAAGCGTACGAGTGGAAAAGATAAACAAGTAAACGAGACACTCTCTCGTAAAACACGTAAAACTCACAATTAATTCATTTTCTTATTCAAAATCAACTTGAGATAACAAAAGAGGAGAGTCATTTATATAAGACTCATAAACTTTATTCCTAACTTGTTCAACAAGACAAGATTTTATAATAATATCTAAAACCTAACTTATTCTCTAAGATAACTAATAATAATAATAATAATAATAATAATAATAATAATAATAATAATAATAATAATAATAATAATAATAATAATAATAATAATAATAGCAATAATAATAGTACTAATATTATTCTACACCATTCTCCCCCGATTCGAAAGGCTTCGCCGTCGAAGCCGATGCGCTCCCGTGGCCGGCGTGTGGTGTGGAACTTAGGGTAGCAAACCCTTCATTTTCACCGGTCGAACACGAAGGTTGAATATCGTTCAACTTCACATAACAAATGGAGGATCAGATCTTTAGCCTATAAGACATTTTTGGTTCTTCATGGAACTTCAAACATGGTCTCCAATTTATTATCTTGCGACATGCCAATAAACGATGAATGCATTTCCACTGTTGTACCGCAGTTTCTGTGCTCAAATGCCCGTGGTGCTCATTTTTTGGATACGGAGCAATAAAATCAGCAACTTTAATAACATGAATGAATATTTTTCCAGTGACTTACACAAGCCAAAATCAGAAAGCGTCAACTCGGGCCCCTGAGGCTCTTCATCGAAAATAAGCGGACCGTCGTAGAGACCGTCCACTTCGCCGGTAAGACGCTCCTCGACCTCCTAGGGCCCTTCATCAAACACAGGCGGACCATTGTACAATGACCCGTCAACATGCTCTTCGTCGTATTCGGGGATGTCTACACGAAACGGGCCCTCCCATCGAGCATAATCACGATCAAATTTCCAATCGCGTCGGGCACGATATCCATCGACGTTGACAGCTTCCTCGCGCTTGCCTATGTCGTCGCGTTGATCGTCGCCGTCCACGAAGATTGGGCCCCGTCGCCGCATCTCACGGTCGCCGTATGCAGCGAAGGGGTCAGCCTCGACGTACGGGGGTGGATAATCGTCGAAGGGAATCACCCCTGAGATTGCCTCCTCGCCGTCTTCGTCGCCGGAGGTTGTGGAGATCTCCGGCGAGGCGCCCCGCCTGGACTACGGCCTCCACGTCCTCCGCAAACTCCCCCGTGCACGCCCCGGTTGCCGACGTCACGGTTCGTTTGCAAATCCTCAACAAAGATGTTGATCATAAGACGCACTTGTTTGAACCCCGTCGAAAGATCTTCAACCCGACGTTCCAATTGATTGATTTGGCGGCCGAAGCCCGTGGCTTGTGGACCCAGATACTCAATGGTGGCGTCACGCCCGTCGTCCTTCCGAGGCGGCACCTTGAATCGTGCTGACTTCTGATACTAACTGATGTAGGGAAAGCGTACGAGTGGGAAATATAAACGAGTAAACGAGATACTCTCTCGTAAAACACGTAAAACTCACAATTAATTCATTTTCTTATTCAAAATCATCTTGAGATAACAAAAGAGGGGAGTCATTTATATAAGGCTCATAAACTTTATTCCTAACTTGTCCAACAAGACAAGATCTTATAATAATATCTAAAACCTAACTTATTTTCTAAGATAACTAATAATAATAATAATAATAATAATAATAATAATTAATAATAATATTCTACACCAGATCCCTTCTTGATTGGTCGGAAATAGTGTGTATATTATATATCCATTAGCGTATTTTTATATGCTTAATTTTGCCGCACTTATATATCTTTCGACTTATTTATTTGTTAGATGGATTCTTGTACTTTGATATTTTTGTGGTTTATTTTTAGGATATTGGAGTATTTGTTGTGGTGACGTGACATTGGAAGAAATTTCATTCTGAGCAGTACGGGGGCGCCCCATATTCTGCGATGGTACCCCATACTCGGCTCAATATATGCCCCACATATTTGGGCCCATGGAAAGAGACACCAATATGGGCTCATGAGATGATTTGTTGTTTGTTGGGATTTAAGGACCAGAATGATGAGCCCAATTGCATGGGAGTCACGCTGGGAGGATTTAATTAATTTTGGAGTCCACCTATTATTTTAATTAACTTTGGAAGAGTTTTGGAAAGGAGGTGACTCTTAGGACAAGCATTATTGAAGAGTTTTGGAAAGGAGGTGACTCTTAGGACAAGCATTATTTTATTGAATTGCGGGAAGACAAGTAGCCGCCACCCATAAAACAGAGGAGACATACACAGAGAAAAAGAAGCAGAACCAGGGAGCCGCTGGGACAGAGGAAAAAGACGCGAGAAGAGCCCGACGAATAGCGGAGGGAGACCGCACCCGCACATGAGAAGGATAATTCTATTCTTCTCTTTTCCTTTTTATTTATTATGATAGGCTAGTTTTTAATTCTAGTTCCGGGGATGTCGAACCCTACGTACTTGATGATGTTTGATTGATATATATGGTTGATTATTGAGTTATCTTTTTGGAATTGTTTGTGTTATTTTGAATAATTAACCATGATGTGTTGAGTTTTATTTAGATTGATCACCTAGATTAGGCTTTACATATCTACACCTGAATTAGGCCTTCAATCCGTAATTGTTGATGTGTTTAATTCACAAGTGGTATCCGGAAGATGGTAACTACCGGGGATAACACGACCTATTTAAGTAAACGAATGCGTCACTACTTAGTCTAGCCTATTTTTCTAATTCGTAAAGCGACTGATTGTATTAAATTTAAGAAGCGTTTTCTAGATTGTACAAGAATTCAGGTCTAATCGTAGAGCGTCTCGCGGTTAGATTAAAAATAAGGAAAAATTCGGGTAACAGACCGTGTCGTTACCTAGGGCTAGTAATTTCATAAGATAACGAGATTTGATACTAGAATTGATTAGATGAGTCGGTCGAGGGTGTAGACGGAACCGTGAACTAGAAATTTCTCTTAATTACTTTATTTTTATTTTATTTATTTAATTTGTATCTTAGTATTAAATCCAATCCCCCCCCCCAATTTTATTACTTTTATAATTTTAATTAGTACAAAAATATCACAATTTGATTCACACTCCCTGTGGGTTCGACCCTTGCTCGCCACTACTACTAGCTAGTAGAGGTTAGTCGAGGAAAATATAAATTTTAATTTTGCCGCGTTGCGACGCGCGGTCACTTCTAGTAATAATATTAAAAATATGAGAAAATAAAAACTTTTGAGTCCAACTTTAATATAATATTATATTATTATAAAATTAAGGCATCTATATAAATATAAAAAGGTTTGACATTTACCTAAAAAAGTAACTACTTTCCCGCCTAAAAAATTCAATATTACTTTTTTTAGTAAATAATTTGGAAACGCCAGCCATGTTTTGAAATTCAAAATGAAATTTATTATATGTATTGTTGTGGCCATTTTGGAAATGATATCTATTGTCGCATGAGGCATAAGGAAATATTGCTGCAAAAATTCAGAATGAAAAAGTCAAATTTATAGAAATATTGTCAAATAATGCGGCTAAGAAGATTTTCCTTTAATTTCTACCAAATATTGAGTCAACATTGTCATATAGTGCGGCTAAGTACATTTCCTTTTATTTTCTACCAAATATTGGGTCAAATTTTGCGGCGATTGTCATGGATTGTCATGGAAATATTGCTCATGGATTGGGCTCGCCGAATATTAACCCATTTGAATTAGATAGTATATAATCAATAAGAAATCTTCAAGTATCTCTAAATTTCCTTTGCCATTATTCAACAAAATCTGCAACAATCATAATGAAATCATATTATTATGCAACCAAATCATGGAAATC